TAGGTTGGACATTAGGAAAAATTTCTTCACAGAAAGGGTTGTCAGGCACTGGAACGGGCTGCCCAGGGAAGTGGTCAAGTCCCCATCCCTGGAGGTATTTAAAAGACAGGTAGATGAGGTGCTTAGGGACATGGTTTAGTGGTGGACAGGTACGGTTGCACTCAATGATCTTAAACGTCTTTTCCAACCAAATGATTCTATGATTTTACATATATATATATAAAATATTACACTAATCATGATGGGCAGATGGTAGGTATCACGTCAACGAACTTCACAGTGCTGGGCTGTGTGGAAAGGGACTCCTTTGTGGAAATTTACTGGTCAGTTGCTCCTTGCATATCAAGTATCAAAAACCACATTTATCTTCTTTCTTTTTTTCTCCCCTCCCCCCCTACTTTTTTTAAACTCTTTCTTAGAAAAGTCAGAAGAGACAGAGCTCCCTGAAGTGAAAGGTTTGCACAGCTGGGTCTGGCAGGGGCCGGCCACCGCTGCTGCCCAGGGTCTCACCTCCTGTCTCCACAGCATTTGCTCCCGATGGGTTGCCTTTTCTCCTCATCTTCCAGACCTGTCTGGCTAGTGAGTCTTAACTCTGAACTTTTTGGGTCCTGTTGGCTTCTAGAGTACTTTCTCATCTGTTCAAAAGCTTTGGTAGAGTGCTTTCCCTGGTTTACTCAGGATCAGTTGAACTCAACTGTAAAGACTGCTACAGTGAAAAGCCAGCATGCTATCATTGCACTTCGTTTTTTGCAAAGCACACTTTGGGACCAGCTTTGTGTCCCTTTCATAGAGGCATAATGCCACATAATTTAAAAAGCTGTAGCTTGACTTGTGGCCTTCAGGTTACACAAGTGTTTCTTTAGCAAAAGCCCTAGACCTCTGCCTATAGCACACGGCATCCAGAACAAGGGCCGCAAACTGGGCTCGAACAGGTAGAGTCAATAGTGATAACACAGCTATAGAAGCCCATTCGTACCTACTTCACATTTTTATTTATCTACAAAAAAATATACAATAAATGTTGAGCTGTGAACTGCTGATCTAGAATGTTTTGCAGACAGCAGATCATTTAAATACATACATTTAAAGGCTTATTTGTCTCCAAACCAATTTGGGATTAAATTGCTGTTTCTCGTGATTTTCAGCTGGTGTCTTATTTTTCTTATTTTGCCATATTTCACTTAGAAAGCCCCCTTAGCATTTTATTACAGTATATAATATGATGCAACTAATGTAACCCATGTGGTACAACATTATCTGTCGGGGGGGGGAGCAGTTAAGCGGATATTCAAAAATCCTTGTTAAAAGAAATCGTCATAGCAAGAAGTATCTTATTGGTCTGGATGGGCTATATCAGTCACACTCACCCCTTTACTTGAAACACGAGGTGAAACGCTGTCTTTCTCAAAATTGTGCCTAAAACCAATCTGATTTTAAGAGCAGCTTTAAAATATGCTTCCTTTCTTTTATTGGACTTACTGTTACAGCCCATAAACATTTGGGGCCAAGAGCTCACTTCCTTAAAATATGCCAAATGGGATTAGTCTTGAACTTCTAAGAAGTAAATATTAGGTGGGAACTGATGTTTATTTATTTCGTATGGAGGGCATCATGATTCTCATTGGTAGCTTGTTGTTCACATAATTAGTCCCATTTAAAGTCACTGCGGGATTTTTATTGTCTGTGGGTTTGATACAGTAAATGCTAAATGACAAATGTTAATATATTTTAAAAATAAAACAAAAAATTAGAGAGACATTCAACCTCCAAGTGACTCCCCATCCCATTTTTTTCCCTGTGCCCCACTATGTCCTTCCCCAAAATGAGCACGGGGAAAACACAGGCATCTTGCCACACAAAGTCGGCGTTGCCAGATCGGTTAGACTCAAGCAGATGGGGCTTTGGGGAGCAGTGGCTGGCTGGGCCCTGCTGCCAGTTTCCTGCTCCACTGCTTTCTTAACTTGAGAGGCTGGTTTTACAGGCCAGCAGACTGCAGTGCTTGTGGGGTGCATGCCACAGCTTGGAAAAGTTGCCGGTCCTGCTTTGGAGCACACTGACTCCAGCGCCTACATGCTCGGTGGGCAGGAAGCCTCAGGAGACCAAGGTCAGTGCAGCTCTCATCCCAGCGCCCATCCTGTCTCCCTCCAGGCGCAGAGCCTGGCTGCTGTGCATCCTGACAGCGGCTGGTGAGAATTTGTTGTCACAAGAGGTTGCGCAACGGCGGCAAAGACGTACACGTGCCCTGAGTGAAGGCTCCAGCGCCGGACAAAATCAAGCAGATAACAATGTCGGTCTGGTGGAAGTAAGGCAAAAGTCAGCCGGTCAGCTGGTAAGAAACATGGCTTGTTCGTATGGCTTTCTTGGAGGATGAGGTGAGCAACTCCAGCAGGATAGTAACATATTTGTAAATGTGCCTATCAGCCTGTTGAGAGCATATTGGGGTTGATGACCTCTAGGGGTCCCTTCCAACCCAAAGCATTCTATGATTCTATGATTCTATATTTGAACACCAAAATTTTTACAGTGCACAAAGAACTGCCCCAAGGAAATGAAGATCTGGTCTCCAATATTTAGGGGTATAACTGTGCTTGGTAAAGAAGGGTTAATTCAGCTTCTGCCTGTCTTGAATGTGCATTTCTTTCACCGGGGAGGCCAAGTATTTAGGACCCTCCCACACTGGAAGCACAATTATGCTCAGCATGCCTAAACATGTTTGCTGCTCACAGGGTTTTAACTTCATATCCTTGAACAGTAGCAGCAGAGACATTTTGTCTGGGAACCATGTTAGAAGAATGGGAAAAAAGGACCAGTCCCACCCGTTTCATAAATGCAGGCGTATTTGGTGGTCCTGC